ATGAACATTTTTCCGACTGTGACCGAATGTGCAACGATATATTTTTCAAAGTTGTTAACAATTCCTAAAATTTGTTTATAGTAAAACAGCCTGCTCAGCACTCACTACTCACGATGATTTCATTTAAAAATGCAATTACCAGGAAAGGAACTGATTCTAAAATATGTAAAATTAAAAGCATTGTACGGTGGCCCATATGTGCAAAACACCCCCCAAAAAATTATTGCACCCCAGGGGTCACAAAGCACCCCAATATGCAAATCAAATTGCAACGGTTAATATGAAAAACCCCCCAAAAGATTCGAAACACCCCACAAAAGATTCGAAACACCCCAAAATATTCGAAACACCACAAAAGATTCGAAACACTCAAAAAGATTCGCAACACTCCAAAAGATTCGAAACACCCCAAAAAATTCGAAACATATTTGTAATACAAGTCTTGTTGAACAAAAAATTTGGTAATATTACTATAATAAAGTTTGCAAATGAAGTGCAATAATTGTAATACAGAAATATTGAGTACATTCTTCTATTGTCCATCTTGTGGCAAGTGCACTCGTATCGACACGCCAATACAAGTGAAAAATACTGATTCTAACGCGGGATGTCTTCGAGTTCAAACACCTCATCCAATTCTGGAGTGGGACAAAAAAGATTTCGATCTTTTGCCGCATTTCAAGCTGAGAAAGGACGTGAACGAATTAGCTAAATTATCAAGGTCTCACCCTGGGTTTCACCAAGGATTTTAGCTTTGCCTAGTAATGCTTATATACCTTGACTAGTTGGCTCTTCCGGATATAAAACCTTTTCCAATAGCATGTATGTAAAAGCATTTGGACATTTCTTTGTGGTGTGTGACTACCTACCAGAGCATTGTGGTAGCAGCAGTAACGTACCATAAGGAATGTCATTGTGCATACGATCTATTGTTTATTGACGTGCAGTATCCATTAAACGGTGAAAGTATTGTTTTGCCTCATCTGCAGTCCATTGGGATCTATCTGGCAGGCTCAATTGCTGACAAATTTCTTCAAAATATATACATAGTTGTCTTGTGATTGATAGTCAACGTGTGCTTGCATGTATGGTATTAATATCCTTATTGTCAGTAAGAAACTTGCAATTGCGTGCTCCGATAGATTCTGGTAAAAAGTACATTTGGTCTGGAACACCAGCTTGCGTGTTGTAACGGGATCTTCTTATGTAATGGGTATTCCAGCTTGTACGTACCTGATCTAGACCTTGTTGTAATAGTAAAACCACAAAAAAAATTTCTGTAAATCATCACTTGAATCCAACTCCCCTCTTTCTACTATTTGTGAGAAAAAAATTCATCCACCATGTTGTCCAATATTTACGTAAATGGCTCTACCATGCTTCTATTCTCTGATTAGAAGTGGATGGCCCATATGCATGGGCTAGTAAACTTGCATGATCATCACCATGAGATCTACGTAAGAAGCACTGCATTGTCGCCATTAACGTGTTTTCAGTGCCTCTGTCGGTTCGTACCATTGTTGGATAACCCTGGTTCTGTTGGATGCAACGGAGGAAGTATTTAGAAATTATTTTTGGATCATTGTTGCTCTTGCAAACTACCATCTCAAACTCATTAATAATTCATGAATAAATTAGCCAACCATCTTGCTTTATTTCGTTCACATGATAATATACTGGATACCTGATGAAGTACATTGATCCAGTCCTAGGACTGGATTAAAATTAATTCAGTCCTTGGACTCGATCAAAATTAACGAAGTAGTGATTTATTCGCATGAGATGTCATTTCAAATCCTCCAATTCGGACTGGACTAGATTTCAAGTCCTCACATTTTGATCCAGGCTTCGCCTCGGACATGATCAAATTGCGCGGACTTGAAATCTAGTCCAGTCCTCATAGTCGGATTTGAAATATTACATGCCAGCCATAGAACGCGACAACTAAAACCGTCTATACACCCATGTATTGGGAATCTATGCGGTTTTAGTTTGTCGTAACCATCTGCGTGCCAGCAGAAGTTTGGACCAGGGTTGTTATACTTTCTTCGCTTAAGACGGTGTAAGGCCCGTTTCATACGCCGTACTTCACATGTGCCGAATACATTAAAAACAATAGGTAATGAGGCATTTCAGCTCATTATCTATTGTCTTTAATGTATTCGGCACATGTGAAGTACGGCGTATGAAACGGGCCTAATCTACGTTCATTAGATCCTTCGGGATCTATTTCACGAAGCAGTCTTTGTACTACTCTTCGCGGCACTTTAACGTGATATTTCCTTCTAATAAGCCGCCACATTGCACGATATCCTAATAGGCACCCGTCGCCATTTAGTTCTTGTCTGATCAAGTGAGAAACCCTTTCTTCGTCTATTTCCTCTGGTGCATGTCTTCTGCTCAATCCAAATTGCTTTAAACCATAACAGACAGTTTTGGAAGACATTGTTATACCATGATACCGGATAAGAACTGGAGGATTACATTGTGTTCAAAACCCGAATGAAAATAGTGGCGTATAGCTTGTTCTTCGTTCAAATAGCGGGAATGAAAGGTGCTATCCCAATCAGGTAGACTTCTGCCATTAATACTTAAATTATAATCACAAACACCAACATTACTTGATAAAATCGGGAGCCCAGGAAAAACAATCAGGGGGCGGTTGTTCATAAGCCGGTTAGCTTAAAGGCACAGTTCAGCCTTTTGAACGATGGTTTTTAAGGCGCATTTGAGCCCTTTTAATTGAAAAAACTAACTAGGAAAATCAATTAAGCATAATTCAAAATCAGTAAACTCCGTGTTTTTAACAATATAAATGTTTTAAAATGCTAAAAACATTAAGTTTGGTGATCTTGAATTATGCTTAATTGATTTTCCTAGTTAGTTTTTTCAATTAAAAGGGCTCAAATGCGCCTTAAAAACCATCGTTCAACAGGCTGAACTGTGCCTTTATTAACACTAGGTTAACTTAAAATTCAAAGCACACTTCCTAACAGCTTGTTTATAAATTTGGAAATATTTCTTCACAAATCATGTCTGGATCAATAGAAGTTTTCCTTTTTGACATTTTGAAATAAATGGACGTGCGGAAGTACCCAAACTAAAACAGCGGGCTAAATTTTAACCCTGGGTTAGCGCTAACCCACCTTTAAACAACCAGCCCCAGGAGGATATTATTTAATAGTAAATTAATTAAATTCCATTTAATAGATGTATTTTGACGGGTTTCGAATCTTTTGGGTTATTGCGAATCTCTGGGGTGTTTCAAATCTTTTGGGGTGTTTCGTATCTTTTGGGGCGTTTCGAATCTTATGGGGTGTTTCGAATCTTTTGGAGTGTTTTGAATCTTTTGGGGTGTTTCAAATCTTTTGGGGTGTTTCGTATCTTTTGGGGCGTTTCGAATCTTATGGGGTGTTTCGAATCTTTTGGAGTGTTTTGAATCTTTTGGGGTGTTTCAAATATTTTGGGGTGTTTCGAATCTTATGGGGTGTTTCGAATCTTATGGGGTGTTTCGAATCTTTTGGAGTGTTTTGAATCTTTTGGGGTGTTTCAAATATTTTGGGGTGTTTCGAATCTTATGGGGTGTTTCGAATCTTTTGGAGTGTTTCGAATCTTTTGGGGTGTTTCAAATATTTTGGGGTGTTTTGAATCTTTTTGGGGGTGTTTCGAATATTTTGGGGTGTTTCGAATCTTTTGGGGGTGTTTCGAATCTCTTGGGGGTGTTTCAGATTAACCGTTGCAATTTGATTTGTATATTGAGGTGCTTTGTGACCCCTGGGGTGCAATTATTTTTTGTGGGGTGTTTTGCACATATGGGCCACCGTAGTTATCGTTTAAAGCAATTTGGATTGAGCAGAAGACATGCACCTGAGGAAATAGACGAAGAAAGGGTTGCTCACTTGATCAGACAAGAACTAAATGGCGACGGGTGCCTATTAAGATATCGTGCAATGCGGCGGCTTATTAGAAGGAAATATCACGGTAAAGTGCCGCGAAGAGTAGTACAAAGACTGCTTCGTGAAATACATCCCGAAGGATCTAATGAACGTAGATCACACCGTCTTAAGCGAAGAGAGTATAACAACCCTGGTCCAAACTTCTGCTGGCACGCAGATGGTTACGACAAACTAAGACCGCATGGATTCCCAATACATGGGTGTATATAGACGGTTTTAGTCGTCGCGTTCTATGGCTGGTAGTTTGCAAGAGCAACAATGTCGCAAATGATCCAAAAATAATTTCTAAATACTTCCTCCGTTGCATCCAACAGAACCAGGGTTATTCAACAATGGTACGAAACGACAGAGGCACTGAAAACACGTTAATGGCAACAATGCAGTGCTTCTTACGTAGATCTCATAGTGATGATCATGCAAGTTTAAAAGCCCATGCATATGGGCCATCCACTTCCAATCAGAGAATAGAAGCATGGTAGAGCCATTTACGTAAATCTTGGACAACATGGTGGATGAATTTTTTCACAAATGGTAGAAAGAGGGGAGTTGGATACAAGTGATGATTTACAGAAAATTTGTTTGTGGTTCTGCTTCAACAAACTATTACAACACGGTCTAGATCAGGTACGTACAAGCTGGAATACCCATTACATAAGAAGATCCCGTTACAACACGCAAGCTGGTGTTCCAGACCAAATGTACTTTTTACCAGAATCTATCGGAGCACGCAATTGCAAGTTTCTTACTGACAATAAGGATATTAATGCCATGTAAGCATATGTTGACTACCAATCACAAGACGACTATGATATATATTTTGAAGAAATTTGTCAGCAATTGAGCCTGCCAGATAGATCCCAATGAACTGCAGATGATGCAAAACAATACTTTCACCGTTTAATGGATACTGCACGTCAATAAACAATAGATCGTATGCACAATGACATTCCTTATGGTACGTTACTGCTGCTACCACAATGCTCTGGTAGGTAGTCACACACCATAAAGAAATGTCGAAATGCTTTTACATGCGTGCTATTGGAAAAGGTTTTATATCCGGAAGAGCCAACTAGTCAAGGTATATAGCATTACTAGGCGAAGCTAAAATCCTTTGTGAAACCCAGGGTGAGACCTTGATAATTTAGCTAATTCGTTCACGTCTTTTCTCAGCTTGAAATTCGGTAAAAGATCGAAATCTTTTTTGTCCCACTCCAGAATTGGTTGAGGTGTTCGAACTCGAAGAACATCCCGCGTTGGAATCAGTATTTTTCACTTGTTTTGGCGTGTCGATACGAGTGCACTTGCCACAAGATGGACAATAGAAGAATGTACTCAATATTTCTGTATTGCAATTATTGCACTTCATTTGCAAACTTTATTATAGTAATAATATTACCAATTTTTTGTTCAACAAGACTTGTATTACAAATATTTTTGGGTGTTTCGAATATTTTTGGGTGTTTCGAATCTTTTGGAGTGTTTCGAATCTTTTGGGGTGTTTCGAATATTTTGGGGTGTTTCGAATATTTTGGAGTGTTTCGAATCTTTTGGGGGTGTTTCGAATCTTTTGGGGGTGTTTTAGATTAACCGTTGCAATTTGATTTGCATATTGAGGTGTTTTGTGATCTCTGGGGTGCAATTATTTTTTGGGGGGTGTTGGACTCAGAAAACATGTACACAGTCTGAGTTCATGTTTTACAAATCACGGACGCAGTCCGCTTACAAATGATGGACTCAATCTATATTTTGCAAATCATGCAGGGACTCATGCAGTCCATGTTTTACAAAACGTGAATTCAGTCTTTGTCTTACAAATCGCTGACTGAGTCCATGTTTTACAAATAATCGCTCACTGTGTCCATGTTTTACTTATTATTTATTAGTCCCGTCCATGTTTTACAACATGGCGGAAAGATTTGAAAATTCCACTGAATTTATGCATGAAGATATCTAAGAAGACCTGCATGGTAACTAAGCTGTTCACAATTCGGGTTTTTTCCTTTTTATTGCATAAAACCATTAGATAACATTTTGCCGTTGTCTGTTCATGCATGCAAGAACTTGGAAGTCTTTGTGTACAAAGTGTCGCTCCTTTGACATTACTTGTTGTTCGTAAACGTGTAAACTGTAAAAATTAGTATAAAAACTTAGTCTAAAAAATTTAAAAAAAAAACACATTTATACTCTGTTAAGACAAAAAGACGGTTCTAGCCAGATAAAGTGTTAAGTTAGATTAAGAAACATGTAAATGTTATGCATCATGTTAGTAGAAATAGTTTTGGTGGGACTTAATTAATGGATCTTATTTAAGATCTGTTGTCCTTTCCTTCAATCATTTGTTAATATATGTTATTGATTGTAAAGTTAATAAAAAAAATAAATAAAAAAATGCAGTTTTGATACAGAGTATGACGTCATAATGTGGTAAGAACATTATTGATCCATTCGCCCTATATAGCGGCTTGTGGATCACGAGTTGTTGCCACTTTACCATTAATAAAATATTTTTCAAACAATAGTGATTCTCAATATTTCTCTATTTAATTTAGTCAATTATTTTACGATTTAAATTATATATATTTTATTTTTACACCTCATGATCATGACCACTTGCAATCTACCAATCCGTATACAAAATTTATTTTACCTTATATAGAAATATACATCTCATGGCATAAGCATGCATGCACTTTGTAACAACTAATAAACTATGTATCTGTTTGTTTTATTGGTGCAAAATGCAGATTCCCATGTAATTAATACCAGATGTAATTAATACTTCATGGTTATCATACCATGTATATAGATCAGATTTATCCATTCCTTCTACTTTATGCCTTTTTGGACTATTTGACGGTCCTACAAAAGAGCAAGGATGTTTGGGTATAAACACATATGGCATGTCACTGGCACTGCCATGATAATGTGTAACCATTTATTTCAGTAAAGTTAAGTAAAATTATAAGTAAAATTAAGTGAATGGGTGGCAACCGGCATAAGAGTTCTTCTCTTTTGAATAAAGGATATTAATTTGATAAATTTTGATGCTGGGTTACCTTTGGCTTTGTGGAACCACTTATCCTTTCTTTGCTCCTAGATTTTTCTTTAAGTAGAGTCGACACTGCCTGATCAACAGCTAACAAAACATGTAAAATATGAAACCTTAGCTTTAGTTGATTGAATACATCACAACCATGCCCAAACGCTTTGTATATATTTCTACATGTTCTCCAACTGACTTACAAAGAATTGAACATGCTAGCAACTTTAACTTACTCTTAAGATTTGATTCCACTATCCTCAGGTTGCTAAAAATTCCAGCAATTTCCTGGAATTAAAAAGATTATTGTTAAACTGCATGCATGATCAAGGCATTAAAAGTGATGCACAATTGGCCATTTTCTGTGCAAAGTTTTATGGAATTTTGCTGTATTGTGATAGGGAAAAAAAATTCAAACGAGCGAGTCATCATGCATAAACGGGTTTGAATATTTAACTTCCTGGGGCCGGTTGTATCAAACTCTTAATCATTTTTTTAATCACTATTTTGTAGTTAAATAGTGATTAACTCTCAAATAGTCGCTTCTTATTGGATGCCGTTTGCACTTAATCATAGTTAACTTTAATCACATTTTTTATACAACCAGCCCCTGGTGGAAAAAATTTAATATCGAAAATTTTAAAATTTATAAAATTTTAAAAAAATAGCGAAAATTTTATATAATATGCCATACCATAACATAACATATTAATTTCACATTTGCAAATCGTCTTCGTAATTTTTTCCTGGATTTTATCATTTATGGGCTTTGAATTCCTACCTGACTTCCACTGTCGAGAAGTTCGCGATTATTTTGTCTCCACTCCTTTGTTAGCCCACTTGATTTTTTGGTAAAAACAGAATTTGTCTTTATCTTATTCGTGGAATCATATAATGCCCTGGGAAGGAGAAATACAATATCATCTATATTGTCCGCCGAGCTCTGGCTTGTTAGTCCTGGCTATAATTGTTATTCCAGTCCCCTCTATACTAATTGAGCTATGAGGTCAAGTGAGTTCGCGAGTAGGTGACATGATCTCAACCTCATAGCTCAGTTGGCAGTTGTCAAGCAATTTTTCAGCTTGCCCGATCTCGTGACATTCAGGGTAGCATAAGCAAAGAAAGATCGCCACAAGTTGTTCAACGCCATACGATTTTACTACTTGCTCAATGACAGGCATACGGATGTAGGGATATCACTTACTGTAATTTTGAATGAATGATATCGCTCGATTCCCTCAACTCTTCCGAAAATGCAAACACGGAGGAAAATATCATTGCTTCGTATGTCTAAACAGCAAACATGTTAATAATTATTGCTTATATATATATATATATATATATATATATATATATATATATATATATATATATATATATATATATATATATATATATATATATATATATATATGAGTGCATAAAAAATAGACAATCAAGGCCGTGCTCTAAACTGAGAATTATGGATAACATCATGGCTAATATTTATGTGAATATGGCTAGTCAAGGGTTTTCTGATTACTTTCTTGAACATTATTTTTTCTTAAAATTAAACTTTCGACTGCAGCAAATGGTTGAAAACCGGTTTGAATTCATAATGAGGGGGGGGGGGGGGTTCAAATGCGCTTTATTATAAACTATGAAAATACTAAGAAATTCCCAGTTACTAAAAAACGAATGAGAAAACATAATGAAGCAACAGTTTCTTCATTTCCAATAAAGATGGCTTGAAAGATAACTGGGTATGTGGAATGCATTAATTCGTCTATAGTAAAGGAGAAGCTTAAATAAATGTCACCTGTGCACCATTTTCGTTCCATTGTCTTCTTGAACGAAAGGACGACTTCATCGTTTTACTGCCGTCACAGGCAGGCGCTTTATTTAGAAACTTCTTATTTCTTGTTAATAAAAATGTGCCATTCGTATTATCCCTTCTCCCTGGCATGCGCAAAGATGTCTTTCCCTTGTCATCCGTTTGTTGTTTCTCATTTGGATAACTTTCCATCATTTCTCCACTCTCAGTATCATTAGTCTTTATTTTTTTATTAATCTGTTTCCTTGCAGCCAAACCATCCCCTTTCTTTAAAAAACTTTTCCTCCTTACAAGTGATCGTTCACCTAATTTCATGGACTTTCTTCTTCGTATTGCTCCAAAAGGAATTCTTGATTTACCACTGGACATTTGCCCAGGAATTTTACGAGATGCAGGCGATGTCTGTTTTGGTGAATTGCATTTTTGAGTTTCATTTGACTTTTTTGGCGAAACTTTCTCGGTAATCAGTTGTTCGGCTAACTGAGATGTTTTCGTATTGTTTGTTTGAGTATTTGGCTGTATTTTGCAGTTTTGTCGTGTGACCTGTTCTACTTGTTTTGGGCACTCGGAGCACTCAGTTTGGATTCCCACCACTTCAGTTCTGTATTTATTACTCTGTTGTGAGTTTTCATCCGGAGACGTTATCTCTGTTTTAAATTGTTCTGTTAAAAGAGATGTTCTCGAAATGCTTGTTTTAACCTTTGGCGAGCTTTGTGTGTCTTTTTCAATTTGCATTGAACTTCCTGAACAGTCATTTTTACTACCCACTACTTCGGTTTCTTTGCTCATGCTTGTTAGATCAACACTTGTCGAACACAGATCAGCATTCTTGATTTTATTCAGTGTTTTGACGTTTGCAACCTTCTTTTTGCTATCCTCAACTGGTTCTTTAGGATTATGTGGTACTTTTTCTGTTACCTTTCTGGAGATATTTCCTCTTCTTGTGGTCGTTTGACTTGAAAGACGTAGGGTAACATTTCTTGCAATCAAAGATAACTTTGAAAGTCTTTCATCCACTTTTCTCACTTCAGGCTCGGGCCCATGACAGGCATCGTGGTCTGGGTTCGACATTACGTCTTCTTCACACGAATCCAGGTGTACTTTGCCTACATGGTGGATTGAAATTTTAACAAGTTGTATTTTGGGTATATTCAAATCTAACGTACAATAATTGTATTCAAATGCTAATAGGAAGTTGATTAGCGGCATGCTTCGAGGGGTGATGGGTTGCGGTGGCGCAGTCTTCAGCGCCTTTCACTTCTGAGATCGTGGGTTGGATTCTCGCTACGATTCTCGTGTGAAAAGGGTCGGTCGACGCTCTGCCGAAAGTCGTGGGTTTTCTCCGGGCGCTCCGGCAGTTTCCTCCCACAAGGAAAGTTGACAGGGTGGGTTGCGATAAATATAATTAGGAAAGTAATATCTCAGTTGTTGTAAAGATATTAAATAGTCTAGGCTATAGCCTTTTATCTGTAAACCCGAGGCTTATAGCAAGAAGATTGAGGGACATTTTCAATTTTTCATGCCGATATACCGCACAGGAGAACCTAAAGGCCTGTTTACACTTGCAATTTTTGCTGCGATTTCTAATGCGATTTTCTCCTTCTGATGCATGTGAACGAGTAGAGGAGTCGCGAATGTTCGGAGTACATGTACAGCAATGTGAACATTCATGACTAAATTGACTTATCTACTCGTTCACATCAAGCAGAAGAAGAAAATCGCACCTAAAATCGCAGCAAAATTTGCAAGTGTAAACGAGCCTTTATAAGGAATCATATCATACTTCCTTATCTGTCATTTGAGACATATTTCATAATGTACGACTAAATTGTTTTTACGCACTCTTGAGAACATTGAAAAAGGCAAATTCGCGGGGATCCGAGGATTTTAAATATTTTTCCAGGTAAACATGGGACAAAGTTGTTACTGACTGACCATTATGATTTAATTTGCTTAACTAAAGACTACTGACAACTCGCCCATTTTTTAATATATGCCATATGGCCTATGAAGGCTATGTGCAGGCACTATAGCCCGAATATTTTTACTACTTTACTAGTTACTTTACACTCACCCCTTTTCGCTTTCGATCTAGAATTATTTAGCCCGTTCGCGTTAATATCTTCAGTAACAAATATTCGTTATATATTCAATGACAATATAGCCTATAGGTTGAGTTCGTTTAAATGTTATATGTGCATGCTACACCTAGCTTTATAAAATCTAAAAATACGTATTACTTCAACTATACTAAATATCAGTTCGCTAACATGTACAATGACAATGTCAATCACAATGAATTATATTTATTACTTTTTACTTTAAATGCTACTTACACAATTGTAGATATGCCTTGGTCTTAAAACCAGCACATTCAAATTAAAAACTCATCTTTTCCCAAAAATATTCCTCTAACTCAAAATCAAAGGAAACATTATAATTTATATATCACTGAAGTTTATTTCATGCAATATTATAGCAGTATCAGTGTTAATATGAACAGTCGAAAACAGGTACCCGTATTTTAGATTGTTTGAAGTGTAATCTACCTTTTGTTAAGTACACAAAAACTATATATTTTAAAAGAAAACTACGTAATTTTGATTCACTCAGGACAAGGAAACTATTTAAAGTTTATTTTTATCTTACAATTAGTATTGATTTATGAGGACCGACTCTGAGAACAACGAACTTTTCGCAAGTTCGCCATCATGTTTTTAGTTTGTTATCCGCTGGATGTGTTTGACTGAAGTCGTCCTTTATGGACTGATCGATGAAAACCACTGGACTGCTATAGTGACTCATAACGTGATCAAATGGATTTATTTCTTTTTCTCAAAACATTTCTTGAAATCAGCCATCTCTTTTGTACATTTTCTCCAATCTTTGTGTTCTGCATAACAGTCCTAAAGATTTGAATAAAAAGTCTTTATTTGCAAAGTAAAATCAGTGACAATGTATCAAAATAATATATGACCATCAAAATGTGTGATATCAGAATTTTTTGGAATTGTTGCCACTGTGATATTGAGGAATCAAATATTATAATAATCTACCACACACTAATGGCCCAAAGATGAAGTAGTCAAATTCAAGACCATCCTTGGCCAGTATAAAATTTTAATATGATTCAGGATCAGACTTAATTTAGATCCCCATTGAGTCATCTGTCTGAGCCTTTAATTCTTATCGTAATATTAAAAAGAGATATTTTGGCCAGTCCTGCTCCTATGTGACTACAGTCCTGAAAAATCATACACAACATGTGAGGCAGAATTTGGGTGTCAGCAAGCCAGTCCAGGTTGTCCAGCTTACCATGCAAGTAGGAATGACATCTTACTTGCAAAGCATAATGATATTTGGCACAACCAGACTTGTTTATTCTTGCATCATATTGATCTTCTTCCTCTTCGAGTTCTAACTCTTTACTTGACATCTTATTGAATACCTATAATTAACTCTTTACTTGACATCTTATTGAATACCTATAATTCTACGTTCTACATTACAGGAAAGTTTGACTTGTAACAAAATATTTTTTGGAAAGGAAAGTACATATGAATAGTGTTTCCACTTATAATCCGAATATATTTGACATATTTTAATTCAAATACCAACCGTTTGAAACAGGTTGTAGAGCTGTATAAATCTACACAAAACTTTGCTTAAAGTTACTACTTCCTATTCGTTTGTATCGGTCAAACTTTTCAATTATTGTTACATGGAAACGTAGATATATGTCCGTTATGTGCACAAAATTTAATAATTAACCTTCGAAATTTGAATCGTAAATGAATGTGGAAACACAGATCAAAACATTGACAAGTTTTCGAAACTTTATATAGTAAAAAGTTTATTTCGTATTTTGGTCGAAAAAGGCAAATGTTTTAGTCACATAAATTACTGTATATGGCTGGTAGATGTTTTCAATGTGCAGAACAATTTGGCTACTTTAAACGTGAGGTAATTATTACTGTATTAAAACTAGACATATTTTATATTACAATTATAACTTGTAATAGTTATTATGTATTAACTAATTTATTGTTCTGGGAACTTTATTGATACAAAATTATTTTGAAATATTTTGGTAGCATGACTGTGAAAACTGTGGCAAAATTTTTTGTTCAAAATGCACATCAAAGTCCATAGTCATTCCAAGTAAAGGAAAGAAAGCTGTCAGAGTTTGCAATGATTGCTATGAAAAACTGACCACCCAGGCCAGGTGCGTATGATGTAAATGATTTTAATAGTAATAGGCCATTTCCGAATTTGCACTCTAGTTGTCAAGAACAATGAAACCATGCCGAGGCTTCATACTAAATTCTTATAGAATATACACTTCTGGAAAGCACATCACCTTGGGTATAGAACCTTGTTTTCGTGATTGAGATGCTGGGCTTTAAGTTGCGTTTTGAACAATTCTACGTCAGATTTTACTGATTTGTAACCCCTTTTCTTCAGTATTTAGTCCTTGAATTTGCTGATACATGGCCTTGAATTATAGAGGGGGTCCATGATCTATAATCTGTGCCATGGTGGGAATCGAACCCGCAACTTTTGGCATACTAGTCCGATGCTCTACCAACTCAGCTACGAGGATATTGGCCTGTGAGCAGGCTCTCAAGCTGAATTGAGAGCCTGCATCGATGACTAATGAATTTGAATATCTGCCCCGTAACGTTCGGTTTTCCAAATATGGAATGTCTATCCTTATATGGTGTTGTTTACAACTTTCCTGCAAACTAAATTTAGACCGCGCAAACTAAATTTAGACCGCGCAAACTAAATTTAGACCGTACAGTTTATACTGTTTTTCGAAATATAAGATATTCAAGCAAAAGTTCAAATGTTTTAAATACTGTTTTCTCAAAACAGAACTGATTTCGTGCTTTGAGATAAGATGGCCAAGACCAATTTGATCAGTTAATGTGTTTTTTATGCACAGTGCTTCAGCAGTTGACATATATAGAGCTCAGCGGAAACATATAAATTATAGCAAATGACCAATGAGAATTTCGCGTCACGATTTGAGACGCAGATATTCAAATTCATTAGTCATCGATGCAGGCTCTCAATTCAGCTTGAGAGCCTGTTTGCAGGCTACGAGGATATACACTCAGAGGATATACTACATTTAACATCAAAACACACACAAAAAATATTATATTTGTGATGTTTATAGAAAAAATATATTCATTTAAACATCAGTCTCTAAATGCAGTACCATGAGCAGACATGCATGTATGCTTAGTGTACCTATTTTTAAATATGATATGGAGTGTCATTATTTCTGAATAAATTGACCCATGTCCCTGACGAGTAAAATCATCTGGTGTTTAGACAGAGTAAAATAATAAAGTAGCTAGGGCACATTGGAGTGCAATGCAACTTAATAATTAAGGGGTTAACCCCATTTGTATTGAGAAACTTTGTCTAACGCCAGATTATTTTACTCGCAGAGGGGAGAGCGCTGGCTCTGATTGGGTTAAGCAAGAACAGTGACGACAATGATATCATCTCTAAGTTAACATAATTGTCCCAGGTATATTGGCAACAAAATGATTTCCAAACAAAGGCCTCTGTCCATGTCTTGCATCGTCACCTTTATATACACGTATTCTGAATAAGAGAAAAGAAAGTCATAAATGGTTGGCTGAATGATTGAGTGAAGGGTGTTGTTGATGGAAATTATTGAGTGGAAATTGTACATTTTATTAGATCTAACCAGGAACAGCTGTGAAAAATGTAACTTTAGGTCTTTGCCAGGAATTGAACCTGTAGCCCTGCAATTCTGGTGCAGAGCTCCAACCAACTGAGCTACAGAGGCCAGTTGTTTAGCTCTAACCACAAGCTCATGTATATAAATATAGGGTATTACCATGTTTTAGGTTATGAGTAAATATTAAGATTTTGTTGGCATACTGGTCAGGTCTAATAAAATATATATAAATTTCCACTCGACTTGAATCGAGTGAGATGCCAACAAAATCTGAATGACCAGGAACAGCTGCGAAAAATGTAACTTTAAGCTCTTGGCAGGAATTGAACCTGCAGCCCTGCGATTCTGGTGCAGTGCTCCAACCAACTAGCTGAGCTACAGAGGCCAGTTGTTTAGCTCTAAGTAACCACAAGCTCATGTATATATAAATATAGGGTACTACCATGTTTTAGGTTATGGATAAATATTAAGATAATTTGTTGTCGTCCTGGTTAGGTCTACTGAAAATGTATATAAATTTCCACTCAATAATTTCCATCAACAACACCCTTCAACTATTGAATCGAGTGAGATGCTAACAAAATCTGAATGATTGATAGACAGTGGACAGATTGATTGATAGACTAACTTAGGAAACATTAACTAAATTCAAAGCCACAATTCTGCATCACATGAGTCTCCAGCGGTTCTCCATCATTTCTTTCACACCGGCATTGATGTCCATTACTGTTGTTAATTAATACACATTTGAATGAACAATTA